GTGCGCGCGCCGGGCGTGGGTGTGGGCGTGGGTAAGTAGAGCGGGCGACACGGGAGCGCGGGGCAGAGGGCCGCTGGCTACCCTGGACAGCGCATCGCCGCCCGCCGGGGTCGCCGCGCCGCAGCCGCTGCGGATCATGGTGAGTGGGCGCCGCGCGCCGCCACAGCCGTTCTCCTTTCTCTCCTCGACCAACGCACTGGGCGGGAAGGAGCCGGGCGGTCAGCGGCGCGGGAGCTGCGGGTTCGACCGCTGGAACCCGTCGCGCTCGGCGGGCCCGGGGAGGGGGCGGTGAACGTTTGGGCAGGGGGGTGGGGGGGAGGGCGCGCGGGCCGGGCCGGGGCCGCGGTCTCGGGATCTTTGTCCGGGGCCGCGGTCCCGCCCCGGCACCTCGGGGCGCCCGCTCGCGTCCAGCCCCCTGTTGCAAGCACGCGGCCGGCCGGGCGCCCGGGATGCCCGACGAAACCGTACCCCGTTCCCGTGGCGGCCATTCCCGCTCGCCTCCCAACCCCACTCCCGCCCCGACCCCCGGCGTGGGGGACGGCGTTTCCCTCCCGCGATCCCGACCCTGCCTCCGGAAATTCTGGGGTTTTTGTCTCTAACGGTTGAATCCGTGCCTCCTCTCCTCCCTGCACCGTGCCTGCAATCCCGGGGGTGTGTCTTTGTGCTTGCCCCGGCCTCCCTGGGTTTACATCGTGGAGTCGGGGAGATTCCCATTTGTTTACGGAGACTGGGCGGGGGGGTCTGGTGTGTTCTTTCCGACAACTACTCTTTCCAGTTTCCAGGCCAGTACTCGACTCTGAACTCATACCACTTTCTGCTGGCCACGGAGCTCTGTCCTGGAGAGAGAGGGGTGCGTGTGTGTCCGTGTGTGTCCCCGTGCGTCCGTATCCCATGAACTGCTTGAGAGTTTTGGCAGAAGAACCTGGTTCTGTGACTACAAAAAGAGAAAGTGATGTGGTTTCCATATGGTTCCTTCTCCACTATGGGGCTTGTTAAAATATGCTAATCTCCTTTCTTTTCCCCGCTCCAGCTGACCCTGATCAGTCCCGGATTTTGCTCTCCCTCCACCCTCTCAGGCACACATCATCTACCTGATTATACGTGAAGCCTTCTGTGGTCACCCTATCTAACATTTCAGTCTTTCCTACCCCAACCACCATAGTTCCTATCACCCTTCTTGCTTCATTTTTTTTTTATAGCATTTATTATTTAACATACTCTTTTGTTTATCTTGTTTACTGAACGTGTTCCCCACTATGTAAATATCGGCGCAGAGATTTTTTCATTTTGTTCACTGCTGTATTTCTAGTACCCTGGCACATAATATGTGCTCTATAAATTAAAGAGAAAATTAACCCAAAAAACCAGCATACTGTTGCTGATGTACAAATGGGAAGCAGCAATGCAACTATAAGGATTATCCAGTTGACAGTTATAAGGATGAGAATTTCAAGGGAAGATTGAGAGGAGGAATAGTCTTGGAAACCAGGGACTTAGTGTGGTGACCCTCAATGGGAAGAGTAGAGCTGCCATCTCTTAATGCCTGGGTCTGTCTCTTCATGCCCTTGACACCTTTGCCCTTGGATGGATAAAGCATTTTTAGAGCTAAGTGGCTCTCTCCTTGGGGGCCTGAACCTTTGTTACAAAGAATTATAATGAGTAAGAAAAGAAGTCCAAGGATATCACCTTAATTGGAATGGAAGAGTCATGGGAATTTAAAAGAGTCAAAATAAAGAGCTTGCACTTATTAACTCTACCCTGTAATATTGTGATACTACCTTTTTAGAAAAGCATTTTCAGAAACTTTGGGTTTTCTGAGGAGATATTTTTATGCATATGTCCACGTAGAAGTCCTCTCACTTTAAAAAAATTATGCTGGCAGTGGGAGGTTAAATTCCAAAATAAGCTCATGGGTCAGTTCAGAGAGACACTGCTTTGGATTCAAGTCCAACATGAATAGTCTCTCACGATGTCTGCTAATTAGTCTTATTCCAAAGCCTATGTTTTTCCTTCAAATTCCCTTTTGCTTTTCCATTTCACAATATAAATGTATAGCAGTCCTTTGTTTTAAGCCTGGGGACATGTGTTTTTATAATCTGAACCTAACTGCATAGTAAAATTTACATGGGCAAGTTCCTGAAAATGATGTAATTATAGCCGTCACTCTTCAAGTTTAGCACCTCTATAATTGCTGTTCTGGCCAGATAGGTAGTAAAGATGAAAGATGGAAAGGAAGGCATAATACGATTGTCTTTGAAATTAAATCCAACCACCAAACATAAATGAAAGATGCCTCATTCTTTTGATCCCAATTTATATTTGTAGGAGATTTTATGTTACGATTCCAGTCAAAATATCAAGCCATTTTTTTTTGTCTATTCCTCAAAGCATCGTATTTTTCAAGACATATAAATCCCCTTTTAAAGTTATCCAGTTGGGTAAGCTTAATTCTCATTCTTTCAACAAAAAGTTACAATTTCATCCAGCTCCCTTGAAAACTTTTTTTTTTTTAATTGCAGTATAACTGATCCCTTCAAAACATTTTAATCACAGTTTGGGAGGTTCGGGTGTTTTCATAGTCTGAAAGAAGGTGTTTAAAATTTAAGTGGCTCCATATTGTAAATTTGTTCTATTCAGAAAACAGGGTCCTTCTATTGAGGGCTGTGCCCAGGATTATCTCCCTTGGACAGTCTACCATCTAACCTGAAAGTTCTGGATATTTAGGAGTAGATGTTGATAAGAGACAAGAGGTTACACCAGTAAGCTCTTATTTAAGCTCAACATGGTGAAAATATGCCAACATGAGTAGCTCAGCAAAATTCTGAAGTTACAAATTTTACACATTTGTATCTTAATCGAATTAGGACATCACTAGTATGTCCCTGACTCTGACAGTGAAGGATTCTAATAAATTGTTAGTTTAAATATAACCATTTAAACTCTAACAATTTAAAAGTTGCAGAGTATACATTGTTCTGGAATTGATGTGGCAGTTTAAACCTTGAGATCTGGATTGAGTCATGTATTTGAACCCCAACACAAGGTTTAACTGTGTGACCTTGGGCAGGTTAACTTCTTTAGAACTCAGGGTTTTTTCTATAAAAGAAGACAGTGCTATCATTTCATAAGGTTGTTGGGAGGAACAAAGAAGATACTGCACTAACTGTGGCTAGTGTACTTCTTCGAGCATTCATAAATATTATCTTTTATAATGACGTGTGTTCTTTCTCCTGTATCTGGCTGTTTTCAGTTGAAATACCTCAGGATAATGTCTGTGATTCACTCCTGGATCTCATCCCCTTATGTGATCCTGAAACGGATCTAGTATTGCTCTTTATCAACACCATCCAGGGGAAATAGCAAACTGCATATGTAGTTTAAAATTTTCTAGTAGTGGCATTAAGAAGTAAAAAGAGAGGTGAAATTAATTTTAATAATAGATTTTATTTAACCCAATTCATGCAAATATTATTTCAACATGTAATCAATGTAAAAAAATTAGATATCATACATTTTTTTTCCCCATGTGAAATCTTCAACATCTGGTTATGTGTTTTATACTGACAGCACATTCAGTTCAGGTGAACCACAATTTCAGGTGCTCAGTAGCCACACTTGGGACAAAGCAGCCCCAGATGACACACGTCTTCCAAATTTACCTCTTCTCTGCTAGACTCTTCCCTCTCGTGAGAACCTCACTGCCGCTTTAGACCTAGTGTTACCAAAAGTCAGCTACTCACCTTTCAGACTGTCCTCTCTGTTCCCTCTGGCTGTTAGTAATTCCACCAGCTCTCAAGTCTACTGTGTCTGAAATCGGATTCTTACTCGCCTTTCTCTTTTATAGTGTTCATTGTATAATATTCCCACATTTTGAAAATCTCTTTGCATCTTCTCTCTCCTCCGGGGCCCTCTCCACTATTCTTGTCTTTCTTACTGATTTCCTCCTTTGTGGTCTCTTAGTTTTTAACCTTTTTACTTGAAGCTCATTATTTTTTCAAGGCCAGAGTCCTCATTTTCCTGTAGTAGCTTAAAGCTGGGGACGCTCTGGTCCTGATATGTTTCCAAGACCTCCCTCTTGCCTTCCTCCCTGTGTTGCACTTCCCTTCCTTCTGCAACCCCCCCCGCCCCACGAAAGGTAGTTCTCTACCTCCCAGCCACTGGGCTCCACATTCTCACCATTCTCTCACAGCTCTTTTGTATGTTAAGTTATAAATGCTTTCTATTTTATACCTTATTTCTGTGCTTCACACCTTTATCAAATATCCAAAGAAATAGAATTCCTTTAACTGAAAATCTGATATTGAAATGACCCACCCAAAGAAGGAAGCACAGATAAAGGAAAGAGAAAAATAGACCATGGGAAGGGAAAATGAAATTATTCTTTGAGCTTTAACTACCTTTCAAGAAATATCAGTGGACCTGATTAATAATAATAGCAACAACAACCACAGCTATGGTGACCTCTTACTCAGGGCTTTATAGGAAACAGAACACTTTCCTCTAGCCTGGTGGACAAAGGCACGAAACAGAAAGGTGCTGGACCAAGAGTCAATAAACCCAGTTTCTTTCTAGTCCTGGCTTTTTAAATTAACTAGCTCTATTGCCTTAATCCCATCACTCTGAGACACTATTTACTCATCTGCAAAATGGGGTATTTTCCTTTCACAAGATTGTTTTGGCAGAATCAGTGGAGCCTTTACACTGGCTCTTCTCTCTGGCTGCCTGGCTGGATCTTTCTGCCAGAGAGCTGTATGGCTGTCTTCTTTTTTTTTTTTTATATATATATTTTTTATTATGTTAATCACCATACATTACATCATTAGTTTTTGATGTAGTGTTCCATGATTCATTGTTTGCGTATAACAC